GTTAATAAACTGCAGAGTTCGCTAACTAAGCCAGCTGCCACCAATCTGTTGATTAGTAGACAGCAGGGCTCGCTGCAGAAGCCTGCTGGTTTTAACCTATCGGTTAATAAACCGCAGAACTCGCGGCATGCCTCTGTCCGAGATACGTCTCCTACACACGGTCATAATAAACCCATGAGCGCCGTTATAACGCCTCATGTGGTCAACACTGCATACATCTCCATTCATCCCCTGAGCGTGTACACGCCTCATGATGAGAGCCAGAGTGAAACGCAGCGTGTGGAGGCTCCCTCACAGCCCTTTCGCTCCAGGCCCACCTTGGGTTGCCTCACAGGCAGCGGCAAGGGCTCTGACGTGGCTCGTCGCCATGACGACCACAACACATCTCGAGCATGTGCGCCCGCTCTCAGAGAATTTCTCAGAGTGGCAGCGCGTGTGTCTGATGGACAGATGGATGAGCAGGCTGATCAGCAGAGGGTACACCCTGCAGTTCGCCTCCCTCCCCCCCCCCACAGTTCAATGGGATACAGGAAACACTCCTGTCATCCCAGGAACAGTGTCTTGCGCTCCAGGCAGAGCTGCGGGAACTCCTGTTGAAAGAGGCTATTTCCAGGGTTCCTCAAGGGGAAGAAAATCAGGGGTATTACTCCCACTATTTTCTTGTCCCGAAAAAGACAGGGGGAATGAGACCCATCCTCGATCTGTCAGTTTTCAACAAGGTCATAATGAAAAGGCCTTTTCACATGCTGACGATCAGACAGGTGCTGGAGTGTGTTCACCAGGGGGACTGGTTCACATCGATAGACCTGAAGGATGCATACTTCCACGTAGCCATCATCCCAAAACACAGGAAATACCTGCGTTTCTCATTCCAGGGAATATCGTACCAGTACAACCGTCTGCCGTTCGGTTATTCCCTGGCTCCTCGCACTTTTTCGAAGTGTGTAGAGACGGCGCTGCAGCCGCTACACAGAGGAGGGATGAGAGTGCTGTTTTACCTGGACGACCTGCTATTGCTGGCTCGCTCCAGAGAGGAAGTTGCTTTACAGACGGTACAGCTCGTATCACATCTGTCAAAGCTGGGTTTCATCATAAACTGGAAGAAGAGCTGCCCTCTTCCCTCCCAGAGTATTATTTACCTGGGTGTGGAATTGAACTCAGCCCGCATGAGAGCACGACTCTCACAGCAGAGAGTGGAGGCACTGACAGCTCTTCTCCGACACGTCACACCTCGCAGCGTGGTGACAGCCCTCTCCGTGATGCAGCTGCTTGGCATGATGGCAGCTGGTCACGTGGTGATTCCCCTGGGTCTCCTTCACATGAGGAGACTCCAGAGGTGGTTTATTCGCCTGCGCATCGACCCCGTGCGACAGAAGAGGCGCATGGTGGCCATCCCTCCTTCCGTGGGTTCAGACTTAACCTATTGGAAAAGTCCCCACGTCCTGTCAGCGGGTGTGCCCCTGGGCAGAGTTACGTCACACATCTCGGTGTTCACAGACGCATCTCTCTCAGGGTGGGGAGGAACGTGTATGTCACAGGCAGTGGGGGGACAGTGGCCGGCTCACATGTCCCTCCACATAAACGTGCTGGAATTGCTCTCCGTACGGAGAGTAATCCAGTATTTTGCCCCGTTGCTGCGGAATCAGCATGTGTTGATTCGCACAGACAACAAAGCCGCGGCAGCCTACATCAATCGCCAGGGCGGAGTACGCTCAGCGCAGCTTCTGAACACAGCCAGGCCGCTGTTGATCTGGGCGCGCGCACACTTGCTCTCCATCAGAGCAATGTATGTTCCCGACGAACTGAACAAAGGGGCAGACCTCATGTCCAGAGGAGGTCCTTGCCAGGGGGACTGGAGCCTCCATCCCGAGCTGGTCTCCCAGGTATGGAGCCGGTTCGGGAGAGCAGAGGTGGATCTGTTCGCCGCACGCGGGAACGCGCAATGCGCCCTCTGGTTCTCCCTGAAAGTGCAGGACCACCCCCCCCTGGGGGTGGACGCGTTCGCACATCGACCATGGCCCAGGGGACTGTTGTACGCTTTCCCACCAGTCCCGCTGATCCCTCGGTTCCTGGACCGAGTGCAGGAGGAGCGACTGTCAGTGATCCTAATTGCCCCGGAGCGCACGGGCGCTTCCTGGTTTCCATGCCTACAGCGTACGCTGTCAGGCAGACCATGGGAAATTCCGTGGCGCGGGGACGCTCTCTCGCAGGTGGAGGGAGCGATCAACAGTCACCCTGTGATAGGCCAGCACTTATGGGCATGGCCCCTGAATGGGAACACTTAGAGGGGCTGGGCCTCTCTCAAGATGTTGTACGGACCATTCAGGGAGCCAGGGCCGCGTCTACCAGAGCGTCCTACACAGCCAAGTGGACAGCTTTCCAGCGTTGGTGTGTAGAAAAAAGCCTGGACCCCATTACGTGCCCCCTGCCTCACGTGCTGTCATTCCTCCAGCTGTTGTTGGACAGGAATTTGGCTTTCAACACAATCAAGGTGTATGCTGCTGCCATATCATCTTGTCATGTGGGTTTCGGGGTCGGGACGGTGTTTAGTCACCCCCTGACGAAACGTTTTCTGCAAGGAGTACGGAGACTCAGACCTGTATCACGCGCACTAGCGCCTCAGTGGGATTTGGCTTTGGTGTTACGTGCACTAAGCAAAGCCCCATTTTAACCTTTAGATCAGGTTCCCCTTAAGATGTTATCAGCCAAAGTAGTACTACTTTTGGTTCTAACATCAGCAAAAAGGGTGAGTGATTTGTCTGCTCTCTCTGTGGCTCCGTCATGCCTCCGGATCCAAGGAGATGGCAGTTCAGCTGTTTTACGCCCTAACCCAGCTTTTATGCCAAAGGTCATCACAAGCTCTTTTAGGTCAAGAGTGATCACCCTGGATGGCTTCTTTCCCCCTCCTCACAGGTCGGAGGAAGAAGCCACGTCTCATCTCCTCTGTCCTGTGCGCACGCTGTCCTGCTATGTGGCGCGCACGGCTGCCTTGCGCCGTTCTCAGCGCCTGTTTGTGCATTACAGAGAGCGCTCGATCGGGCAGCCTCTGTCTGCACAGCGGCTGTCACACTGGCTGTGTGAGGCTGTGTCACAGGCATATGTCTCCTCTGGGGTGGATCCCCCGGAGAACATCAATGCGCACTCCACCAGAGGAATTTCCTCCTCCACGGCTTTGCACGGAGGAATGTCAGTGGAAGACATTTTCACTGCTGCTTCTTGGTCTTCTCCCTGTTCATTTATTCAATTTTATTTGAGGGATGTCTCCCATTCCTCTCTGACACACCCTGTGCTGAGTGTCCTGTCAGAGTGAGTGACGTCAGCGATCCAGCTGTGCGCCTCTCTCCTGCCTCGGCACACGGAGAGTGGCCTGTATTCCCTCTTATGAGAGGGACGTCCCCCTTTTTCCCCTGACACATTTCGTACGGAATGTCTTGTCAGAGTGAGTGATGTTGGGGACGCAGCTGTGCGCTCTTCTGCCTGTCTGCACGCAGAGAGCTGCTATTCCCCCTCCTTTCTGTCACTGGGCAAAGTGTGACCTTCGTCTCTACTTTCTCACAGCGGCAGGTATGTATTATTCCCAGCCTTCGTCCCCTCATGGTAAATATTCATGTTATGATATATTCCAGGGACTGTGATGCGCCATTCGCATGGCGCAATAGGCATGGGTTATTATCTGAGCAGGTGTGTCTGTGCTTCTTGTACCGGGGCGACCCAGTGGGGCGCAGACTACATCTTGCTTCGCCCTTAACCCAATAGCGATAGCCTTAGAGGGCGAAGCCATATACGAAATAGAACTGAAGTTACCTACTGTAACTCCAGCTTCTATGAGTATTGGCGTAGCCCTCTAAGTTCTGGGCCCCAATGGCTCCACGAATAGCTGAAGAAAAGTTGTTTTGTGTGGGAGCAGATTGTCGGGCCTCCTTCCTATTTATACCGGAAGGGAGCCCGAGGGTGGGGCCCACCTTGCGGGCGGGCGTGGACTACAAGTGTTTCAGTGCTGCGCGGGTGCGCAGGGGGATTACCCAATAGCGATAGCCTTAGAGGGCTATGCCAATACTCATAGAAGCTGGAGTTACAGTAGGTAACTTCAGTCTTTGATACTGGAGAGCTTTTGTTGTATTTGTATCTAAAAACAGCGGGACAATAGTTCATATATGAGACTTCAAAGGTATTTTATTTTGAAACTCTATATCAGATTGTCCTGATTCTCTCTGAGTGACTAGTTGGGGTGTCCTGCTATCACCCTGAAGTGAAATAAGTATTTGATACTGGAGAGTTTTTGTTTTATTCTTATCTAAAAACAGAGGGATGATAGCTCATATATGAGACTTCAAAGGTCTTTTATTTTGAAACTCCTTAAGTTTTACATTCACTCAGTTATAATGTAGTAGTCATACGTAGTTTGTTTGAAATAATTATTGATCACATTATATAGTACATATTTCTTAATTTAAGCTCCAGTATATATGAATATGTTTGGTATGTTTTTTAGGTATATTTGTTATTGACCGAGTAAGCGCTTTTATTTTGAAGGCAGTTTTTCCAGGCCTCTACCGTAATGCATAGGATATTCGCGCACCGTGCGGGCCGGGCTGGTTTGACTGTGTTTTCCGAAGTGGAGGCTGGTGGCTTGACCGCAGTGGGTCGAGGCAGTGTAAATCCTGCACTCACAAAAGTCACCAATCTCAAAAAGCTGATACTATAAGATTAATTAATAGAATTGAGCACAAGAACATTTAATTTTCAAGTATTAAATAATGTATAATCTAATCAAAAAGCATTAGCATTCATTGGAGTGATCTATAATAAAACAGATATCTCCTTTCACATTTAAGATAATTCAGTCTTTTGGATATTTTTCTATCATTCTGCCATATCATACACACATGCTTTGAAAGAGGCCAGCTGAGCACTGGAGTTGAACACCGGAAACTAGTACCACGTGACTCCAGCTGGTGTTTCCCGCCTGTATTCGTAATGATTTTGTAGGTACCCGGAAACTGCATCAGAGTGACAGCTCTCCGCAGTTTGGTCTGCTAGAGATAAAGTGCATGTATTTTAGAAGAAGTGTCACCTTTATTACTCCTGAATCAGATGATGACCTCAATGCAGCGGCTGGTGGATTACATGTTCAGTTTTTAGTGATAAAGTAAATTATCGAGTTTCCTTTCAGATGTGAAACCAGTGGACGGTGGACCAACAAAGTCGTCCGTCAGTCCGTGGTCGCCGTGTGTTCAGCATTCAAACGTTCCGCCGTCTGAGAGACAGGTTGGTGATGAATGATGACAGTGATGTTAATGAAAGCCCTGTTATAAAGTTCATGTAATTATATTTACTATCAGAATATGTTGTTGTAGACGACCCTCCGTCTTTCAACAACAATGCCAATCATTTTCTGCAGAATCCTGGTATTTTATTTACTTTTATTGTCCGAGTCTGTTTGTCTCACGTTTTTTTTCTGATTAAAAAGCTGTTATGTATCCCAATGACGAGCTCTTTCCTAGCTGCTATATATATATATCCTATATTACCTAGATTTATATGGAACATAATGTGTACACAAAGATGTAACTCAGATCTGTATTTACCATAGACTGTATATATAAAGGTATTTACATAATATGACATGGGCTATTGAAGGAACTCCTGATCCCCAAAACTGCAGTATGGCCATTTTAAGGCCTTGTCTTGAGTGAACTTATGAAAAGGTCCCTGCTTTATTCCTCCTTAGGTGAAAACTAGGCTGAACGCTCACACCTCACATCAGTCTTCTAACGCAGCCTACACACGGCGGCGTGCGTTGCCGCTTGGCGGTGGGCGTGTCTTGAGCTTGGGGAGTTTACGCGAGCAACGCGACCAACAACCAATCACATGAATCTCCCGTGTCTCTCCCCAAGGGCTGGAAAATTGAAGAAGTGACCAGAAAGTCGGGTTTGTCAGCTGGAAAAAGCGATGTCTATTATTTTAGGTACTAAACGAACGGGGGCTTGCAAAACGTTTAGCTGCTGCAGGACACAAGAGTTTGCGGAAACAAGACAGGAGTTGATAATTGGAAGGGGGGGGTCTGTGTAAAGTTTGTGATGGGAAGGGGGGGGGTTTCTGTTTGCAGCGGGGTATAAAGGCTTTAAAAAGGCTCCCGTGTATGAATCTCACCATAGACATTAATGTCTAAAAAGCGATTTTTAATTAATGTCTATGGTGCTATTTTATGCAACATTGCATGGTGGCTAAATATACTGTCTATGCCTGCTGTCCATTCAAACGAAGTACACTGGATATAAACTCCCCAAACAGGCGAAAACCTAGCAGTTTCACCCACTGTCTCTGCCACCTCCCTCCATGCCTGGCTCCTCCGGTTTGTATCCCGGTAGGTGAACAGGGACTGAAAGCACCGGGTGATTCCCTACCGCTACGATTATTTTCTCCTCCATTTTTTGGCATATGAGGAAATGAACTGCGGTCTGGCTCTCTCAGCATACACGCGGTTTGATTGGCTAGCGCTTGAACTGTCAGATTTGCATACGCGGGATTTGATTGGCTGACGCCTCCGCCTCTGCTTCAAAAGTAGAACATTGCTCTACTTTCATTTCCTCATATGCCAACAAATTCAAACTAGCTGCACCTTTACCAGCTTTGAGAACACTTTAATGATCAATAATTATAAAATATATCATATATATTATTCTGGAATGGACCAATCTGCACAATGACTACTTTTACTGTCGCTACTTTTATACTTTTACTTGAGGAACATTTTGAATGCAGGACTTTTACTGTAACAGAGTATTCATACACTATGGTATTTTTACTTAACTACAAGATCTGAGTACTTCTCCCACCTCTGCACACCTGATGTGATAACGTTACTCGTAATTGGCGCAACAGAGCTACGAGTTAAGGAAGTCGAAAATTGTGCATTTCTCCGATTGAATATGACGCCTTTTGGCCGGCTGTTTGGACCATATGCCGCGTTTCCACTACACAGCCTCGCTCGGCCCCGCTCGGCCTCCTTTGGCCGCGCCCGGCCTCGTTAGGACCAGCTCACTTTGTGGCGCGTTTCCATTACAGTTTAGGAACCGGGTCAGTATCTATAGTAACAGTGTAGGCGGAGCGACGCTGCTTAAAACTGCCGTGACGTCATCTTCAATGCGACACAACAATGGAGATGTGAAAGCGATCGTTTGCTTGTTTTTTGCTGTGTGGTTTATTATCACAAGAAATAGACAAGAGTTGTTTCGAAAGAGGCGACGTATAGCAAGACGAGGTATAGAAGAAGCTGACGCGAGAGTTCGGGCAGTCCTCCTACGCCGCAGAGACTACAGGACGACTCGAATCACTACTAACTACAATGCTACTTGGTAAGCTAACGTTCGCTAACTAGCAATGTGTTTAGGCTCACTCTCCCTATACGACCAAAGTATTTCAAGTATTTAATTAATTGTAGCTACCACTTTTACGTATTAAAATATGTATGCTTTTGTTTGTGTATTTCAGAAGTTACCGACCGAGCTACCGAGTGGTGGAATGTGATTGTTCCATCTTTCACACACTCAGTGGGTGGAGAACTTCAGGATGCCTGAGGAAAACCTACGTGTAATACCTAAATATTCATTGTATTGTATTGAACATAAATACATCTTTTCTTTTTCACATACATGTGTTTGTCAAATTATTTAAACCAAAAAAATGTTATCAGAATTGACTATTTAGTAAATATTTGAATTTCAAGCACAAGTACTGCCCCCATAATAATAATCTAATAAATTAAGCAAATATCAAAGCAAACTATAAACATAAATACAAAAGTGTAAAACACAACAGAACTATATTCATAAATGCAAGTGTAAAAAATTGTTAACATGGATGGAGGCTAAAGTATCCACAGCATAAAATAATATGATTATGATGGTTTGTCTGAAAGACACAGCCTCAAGGTTCAAGGTTTTTTATTTTGTCATACGAACATAGCTAGTGTAGTTATGACAATGAACATCTTAGGTCACAGGCTCCTCCAACAGTGCAACACAATAACCCAGATCAACAGAAATATAGTGCAAGTAAATATTAAGCGCTGTGCACCGCTCTCTTTGTATAGGTGTTTTCTTTTGTTCTCTTCTCTTTGAAATATATAAGCAATGTGTTTGAGTCTAGCACAACGAGGGTATTACAATTGAGTAATTTTTCTACATGTATTTATCATGTATTCTTAATACCATTATGTAATGTTATGTTTTAGAGGAGGACCTCAAGCTAGCAAACTCAATTTCAAACAGTATGCAGAGTTGTCCTGCTAAAGAGTTAAAATGTATTATTTAACCAAGTATTTATTCTCTTATTTGCTTTAATTGCAACAGATGATAAAGGTTTCACTGTGATAAGTATTCTCTTAAATCCATAAACCCCTGTACAGTGCTTTGTGGACGATGGTGTTTATGATATTTCTGACTGCAGAGGGACGCCTAGATGATGCCATCTTTCTGTGCGATCGCTGGTGGGTGCAATTATTTATCAACAAGCAATAAGATAAGACATGGCATTGATTCTGCTGGGCCAGTTGCCGTTCCTGCAGGGCCAGATCCTCTCCTCCTCGGTTTGTGCTGTTGATGCAGAGGACGTTGTGTCCTCCTCGCTGTTCCTCCTCGCTAGTCCCAATGTAATCATCTAGAACAGAAACATGACTTGTAAATTCCACAAACTACTGCAGCACAATACTATAAATAGCAACAACAACTATAGAAAAGACAAACTGAACGTAAACAATGGCACATATGGTGTTAGCAAACAATAGCTCTCGCTAATGCTATCTGCCTAGCTAGCCTTCGGGGCTCCATCGGGGTTGTCGAACATAAATGTAAGGATAAAATAGACTTATTTGTTAGAAGTGAGCTTTAAAACAGATAGGGACACAAAGCAGGGACACAAAGCAGGGACACAAAGCTTTCAAGCAAATAACACAGCGTTAGCAAAAACGTACCATGCAGACTCCAGTAACGCCGTTGGAGAGTCCAGTGTCTGTGTAGAGACCTCCTGAAAGACTTTGATATTGCGAGTTGTCCCGTCGAGCACCCGCTGGACCTTATCATCTGCAATATAATGGACGTCGTCACTTCCTCGACCGACCATGGTGTGCTTTTCTTTGCCATTGTTGTAGCTCCTCCGTTAACAAAAATGCTGTTTGTAAAAATGGATTATCTCGCGCGCAGATTGTGACGATTCTCTCCGACCAATCAGCAGCCGAGAGCGTTGACGTCACAAACACAGCCCGGTTGCCTCTGGCCCTGGCCCCACGATTTTATGAGGCCAGAAAAACTGAGAATTAGGACCAGCCGGCCGGTACTAGGCCAAGTGGAAACGCAACCACAAACGGGCCGCTGACGTCACAGCCCTCTTAAACCGGGCTGCGCGCTGTAGTGGAAACGCGGCATATATAGACTGTATATATAAATGGACGTAGGGTCCGTGACGTCACCCATAGGATTCTGCAGAGTTGCCGAGAAGCCCTTAGTAGGCGGAGTCGGCCACTAACGGCTCGACAGTGGCGTCAGAGTTCCACTCCCGCCTGCTCCAAATAAGGGCAAAGAGGCGGAGCCGAGGCGGGACCTGCTGCCTCCAGCTGGGAAGTAACAGAGCTAGCTCAAGCTAAGAAGCTAAGCTAACATGCTCCCCATCTGCACACTGCCGTCACATTTTACGTTTCTAAGGTAAGCGGACATGAAACTATTCAGCAAAACTATAAATAATAATCTAAGTTATTGAGTTTTTAGCATAATACTTCAGAATCTTAAAATCCCTTAACGTTTGTATGCAATGTGCTAAATGCAACACTGGAATCAAGCAAATTAATATGTTTGCATGACATTAGTTATTTATATTTTGCTATCACTTAATTATACGTTTAATACATTTAAGTCAAGCTAAGGTACAGTACATGTGATGGTAGCTAGTTAGTGCTCTTACCTGTGAGGCCTCCTCCAAACAGCATTATAACCAGACTGTATCATTAAAACTATAAGTACCAGTTCTAGATCCTTGACTTTAGACAAACAATTCAAAAGACAAAATGTATTTAAAGACCAATCTTTATTTGAAGGTGCCTCTTAACCTGAGATATTAGTTATACAGTAATAGTATTGACAATCTAAAAAAACTGAGCAACTCAACAGTCAACTTTTATATTTCTTATTGTCTAAAGCATTTATTATTTTCATTTTCCCCCACTCATATTCAGTGTGGACGGATTGAGACAGCGTGGTGTCCAGAAAGCTGCA